CCGGCCACCCGTCCAACGAGCCTCAGACCCGCAGGCAGCTGCCCGGGTGCACACCATGGCTCCGGCTCCTGCAGAACTGCTGCTGCCACGCGCTGCCGTGCTTACAAGATAAATAATCCATCCAGGGGCTGCTTTATACAATCACTAAGGTTGGAAAAGACCTCTAAGATCATCAAGTCCAACCATCACCCCAGCACCAACATGCCTGCTAAACCATGTCCCAAAGTGCCACGTCTACACGCTTTTTGAAACCCTCCAGGGATGGGGACTCCACCACCTCCCTGGGCAGCCTGTTCCGATGTCTTTATCTGGGATGTAACAGAAGCTGACAGCAAACAACATGGAAGGTGCCACCAGGTCGGTACTCAGAAGGAGCAGGAGGCGTCTGTGGTCCCGCAGCCCAGCGCCATGCAGGGACTGAGACACTGCAGGAGCTGCCAGGCCCCAGCTGCGGTCCTGAGGCCCCAGGGCACCTCAGGTGGCCCTGGCCACCCGCACGCAGGCAGCTGACCTCAGCCTCGGCAGCAGCAGGGCTGTGCACTGTGCTGCACTCCCCTCCCCTTCGATACAGCTCCCAGAAGATGCACAGGATGACAGCAGGTCATGTTTTTCCTCACTTTCCTCTCTCTCACTTTCTCCCTACATCCATGCGAGGAATCCAGGCACCCGATCTGCAACACACTTCTTTGGACATCCCTCAGCCCCAGTCCCTCCAGTGACATGAGAGCTCAGCACAAGGGCACCAGAGTACCGCTGCTCTACCAGAGCCAAGGTGTTCCTGAGCAAAGTGAACCCTTAGCACCGTGGGGACAAGGACAGGGAGAAACTGCTCCCCGCTGCCCACAGGTGCAGAGGCTTAGCTCAGGCTCTGCACCCTGCAGCGGCCAGAGGACCGGCCACCCCCCCCCAGCAATGTTCTGCTTAAAGATTCTCTCCCCTGGTGCCCCAGGAACGTTCTACCCAATGACAGTTCCACACTGCTCTTTGCTGAAGGGTTACACACATTTCACAGTAATTAAGACCATGCTAATTAACATCCATTAAAGTAGTGCCTGTGGAAAAGCACAGTGGAAGAAGTGCTGTGGATTATTTGTGTTACTCTAGTGCCTAAGAAACCCTACGGTAACATCGAGGCCACTTTCAACCTCAAAACCAGATTGCCTCTAAAATTTCTACTTCGCTTCCCATCATGCCAGGGAGCCCTTTTCTTGTTGTAAACAAGATTTCTCTTGTATCACTAAAAGCTTTTGGTTCCCAGAGGTTCATGCTGTTGTCATCTGCTCCCATTGTCATGCACCACCACTTGTCTCTGGCCTTGCACGCAGTGCCAACACAGGCTATTTTTACACATTTCTTCACAAAAGAGCTATGAGAGCACATTCAGCATGCCCTTGAAGCGGGTGCGCTCCAGGCAGATGACTGCTAGGTGCTGAGCTGTGAAAGCAGCAGCAGCATTGAACAACCACCATCCCCAAAGCTTGAGGGGCTCCCCCTGTTTCTGAGCAGCTGTAGATCTTGTGCAGCCTCACCCGCTGCCGAGAGCACGCCCAAAGGGCACACAGCCATGGCCGTGAGCAGAGAGGGCCGTGCGGAAAGCCAGGCAGGAAACGCCGTGAGAGACCTCATTTCCAGGGAGCAACGGGCTGTTGCTCCACCAGCACCTACCCTGGTGCAACAGAAGTTCAGTGGGTTGAAGCAGTTGGGGGCTCATACTCCTCACGCGTGGGACCTCACATTAGCTGTCCCTCTTCCATAGACCAAGCGAACCCTGTGATGTATGGGCCTCAAAGCTATTCCAAGCAGCCTTTCCTTTCTCAGCTGGAGGTCCTACTCGGCAGCACACGGCTGCACTCTCACCCACTCCATGCAGATGGCCCATGCCACCAACCCTATAGTCTACCCTTTCCTCTTTCACACAGCAACACCACTCATCCCACTCACACAGAGCCCAAGGGACACCACAGTGCTGCCTGACCCACCTCCTTGTCCCAAGCTCTGGTCACATTCAACAGCAGGTACTTCTGGGGGAGAGAGTAGGTGGCTTACCCTGTGGTTGTGGCAGGGAGAACATCCCGAGAGCCTCTGGAGCTCTCTTCTCCTCTAAGAAACAAAATGCACAGTGTTTTCCTGGAAGTCTTTGCTGATGATGTGGAGCCAGCTAGAAGTTCAGGGCTTAAGACTGCCAGGACCATGTGAGATAATGAGCAGCAGGCACAAAGCTTTTTCCTGTGGAAGAACACTGGTGAGAACTTTTACTGTGAGCTGGCACGGCTTCACCGCTCTCCTATCAACCTTCAGGAGCACAAGCCCACGTTCAAGACTTCAATTGTTCCTTACATTCCGCAACTGCTGCTGCTCAGTGGCTAAACAGTGACCGAGGGCCCAGGGGCCATCACCCAAAGCCTCTTCCTCCAAGGAGTGGAAAATGAAATCAGCAAGCTCAGCAAGAGCTTTATGTTTTTCTGGGTTCCTGAGCTGTATGGGTGCTGCTGATTGGAGCAATGTCCCTACCCAACACTTGAGCAAGGATGGTTATGACTGTAAATCCCAGCAGCTTCTTACGCAGACCTCCACTGAGGTAGATGCATGGACTTGAAAAACTACACATGGGTCTCCTATACCACCACCCTCAGCACTGCAGGGACTACTGCTACCTTCTTCCCATGCAAGGAGAAGACTCTCTGCAGCACTGTGGGAGACACCACTCACGCCCCAGCCTCATGGGGCGCTACCCAGACAGCGCCAAGCCCACTTTAACCACATCTCTTCACCACACGCCCTGAACTACGGGAACCCATGGTGCCTTGCAGTCTCTGCAAGGATGAGGTGACCCTGTCTGCCTGTGTTGGGATAGGGAAGACCACTTTCTCTGGCAGGTGCATGCACAGCTCTTGGCATCCTCTGAACCAGTCAGGGTACCCCAACACAATATTCGTGTCTGGAATGCCAGCCATCCTTTTGATCACGTGGTCCACGAACACGCTGAGTCCAGGGCTGCACTGAGGAGGGCAGGGGAGGGAACATCAAGACTGCTTCCCCTATCTGATACATACAACAGGAAGATTACAAAAGCACAAATTGTTTGCACGCCCTCATGGCAGCTGCTCACCTGGCTCCCCCCAGGAACAGGGCTGGAGGTGTCTGCACATCCCCTGCCCCCCTCAGACATGCATCATTCCCCTGCTCCCCCCACAGGTATTAGCACCAACATTGCCCTCAGGACACCTCAGACCTTGCTGTCACTGATATGCTACATGAGACGAAGCTGACAGCTCAGGAGGCAGCTTCCTTGCTTCTTTTTCTAAGAGAAGACAGGAGAATTTGGCAGGGCCTTTGGCAGGGAACCAGCTACAATGGTTTGAGGCAGTGAAACCTGGTAAGGCGGAGACAGCTCAGCCCCCAACTCCTAATTAGGCTCTGTGGAACGGAGACAAAGCAATACACTGAGGTGTAACAGCTTGTGCTCATCCGTAAGCACTTCACTCTCCGCATGTTGTACACGGACAGCCTGTCCACTGGCTCTGGGATAACAAAGTCTCTGTGCTGGAACCGGACTGCAAAGCACGTAACACGTAACGCTGAACTTCTGCAAAACCGGCTTTTAAACTAGGGATTCCTGAATTATGCTAGCTCAAGATGTATCCAATTACATGGCAAACCTACAGCTTTGCAGGTTTGCACAACAGTTCTCCACAACTCAAGTATCATGGAAGGAAACAAAACTCAGCTGTCACAGTGTGGAAATGCCTAGCTGGTAGCTGGCACGCTCACTGCAAGACTTTGCTTGCTAGGCACAGCCTCAGAACAGGACCGCAGACAACTGGTAGCAGCTCACAGGTCTAGTGCGTAAAACCCCGTCTAGAGCGAGCTGGAGAGGAACTTGCAACTCCAAACACCGTAAGGAAACATGCTTCCTCCGCCCAGAGGGGCAGAGGCTGAATGGCCAGAATCACTCCCCTTCTCCACCCCCTACCCCCACCCCACATATTCTGCAAGTTTTGCACAGACCTAAAACTATTTTCTTCAACCAAGAAGGATGCATTTTAACTTGGACACTGGCTTCGTGACTTAAGATGTCCTGACAGGCAGTTCAACAACTCTCACTTCACAGATCTCCCTCTTTTGTCAGGACTGTGCAAAAACAGGGCAGCTGAGCACATGGAGAGCAAACTTCAACGCCAGATACCAACATCTGTAAACACCTGAGCTGTGCTTCTGCAAACCTGAGATTACCAGGAAGACCACCACTGCACTGACAGCAACCAAAAAGTAGCGTCTATAAACCCAAGACAGGTTAAAGCTTAGTTAATTTGTCTTGCTTTCAAACATTAGCACACCCCACGCCCCCCCAAAGGCTACGATTCTCTTCCTGTACAAACCCAGTTTCATCTTCAGTCATTTCTGGGAATCCCGACCAAGGAAAGCATTCCCTCCTCCTCCTCCTCCCAGCCCACACACAGCTTCCAAATACGCATTTATGAGCATCTACTGTCAGCACAGTGACCTTAAAATCACTAAACACACAGACTAAATAAACTGAACACGTTTGCAATGCACAGCACCTCTGGAAGCACAGCTGTTAAATGAGACCACTACGTGCTGTCTAGTCTTATTATTCCGAATTCTCAAAAATAAATTCAGAAGTTTCAAACTACCCACCACTTGTAGTTACTGTTAAGCATTTCATCACGTTACAGCTAATCCACTTCAATCTCGACAGATAAGTACAATACAAACACGGAACCAAAATAACTTACACAAGCATGCACGAGAAGAAAATTTAAAATACCATCACCAAAGATCGTACCCAGTAAAACCTCCCACTTAACTCCTTCAGGCGCAAAGCCTAAACAGAAAACGATGCTTATCTTGTGAGTCAAATACTGATTTTCAATTGCTTGCAAGTCCACAAGCCAAAGGAGCTACCTACCACTAAAGGTATAGGGCTAGTATACAGATCTATCTGCTTAAGAAAATCCCACTTCATCATAAAAGCTAAGTGCATAAGCTGCAACAGGGAAAGTTAAGATAGACTCATCAACCTCACTTCAAAAGAT